TTAAGATATCGAACAAGTCACTGCTTTTGTGTCATCTTTTAACAGAGCTCTATTGTGAATTTTTGAACCATAAGAGCATTTATTCAGTCTATCTTTTGTTCACGTTTTCTGTCAGTATGTTTAAGTATACACACACGCATACACACATTGAAATTAATACATCTTAGCCTGAAAACAGTAATTTATTCTGTTTGTGTCTTCTCTTCTTGGGCACATGCGTTCTTTCTTTGTTGAGTGTGTTTGTCTGTATGTTAATATATAGATACACGGACATGTAGCTATTTCCATATGTATTATTTTGTGTTTGTGTGTGGGTAGCTGTTTGTTACAGTGCGCTCACATGTACATGCCTTTTGCAAAATTATGCTTGTATGTAAATATGATGCAAGTATTGTCTTGTGTTTTAGTGAATGATACCATTTAATAATACTTTTTCATCTCAGGATCAGCTTCATAAAGGCCTGATCCATTTCAGTTCCTTTTTTTTCTCCGATAGGCCAGCTGTTGAGAACACTAGACACTGTGAAAAAAGTGAAAATGTCAGATAATAGTGAAAAAGGTGACATCTTCAGTGACGGGCTTTGTCCAGCCGACAGTCAAAAAACCCCAAAATACTGACAATATAATCATTATATAGTCAAATAATATAACTTAAAGGAAGCCATTAATTGATCATCAAAATTGCTGGTTAATAATTTTTCTGTCAGTTGACTGATAGATAATTGAGCAATCGTTTCAGCTCTAGTTGCCATTACTATTTTTTAAATTCAGTGTGGTCAGAGACAAGATGAAAGTCACCACACAGCCAGATATTAAGCAGAACTATTTACAACCTTTATTTTTTTTTCCAAGATAAACAACTCATTTAAGGTCTGGACAGGCACCATGGGACAGAGAGCCCCCACACGGTCGGCTAAAGGACAGATCCCACTGGTACAGGAGTTAACCACCTTCAAAGACAAGAATATAGTATGTGTCTGCACAAGCAGATAAAACAAGAAGTAGTAGTACAGGCAACAGTGGTCACACTATAGGTTGGAATCCAAATGCACAGTGATCAATAAGTAGGTTTGCTCTGAACTGAGGGAGGTCAAAAACACTCCCACCAATAGGAGGGCAGGCAACAAGCAATAGGGTCAGAATAGGCCACGCCCCAGATCAAATGCTCACACATTAAAATTTCAACTAGTACAAAAGTGTCAAGACATTACATCACAAGTATTAAACAACATAAAATCTCTCACCTTTCTAGGTTAAAGTAGCTAAAGGAGTTATCTGACCTCCAAGCACAAGAACACCTCCCCTACAGCATGAAACTGTCTTCACAGACAGCAGCACCAAAAGCACATTCTCCCTCTCCCCTGAGTGCCACTGCCCTGAAACAAAAACAGCTTGTTATCTCACATTTGCTTGTTTTCCCTCCCACTCAAATGCACCTCTAATACAGATGAGTCATCAGTCATTAGTGTCCACGGGGAAAGCTACTTAGCTGTCAAATACATCTGAAATCTCTCTGCTATTTCTCATATGCATTTTAAGTTGTATTGTGGAGGGAAAAGCAAAATACAATTAAACTAAACTTGTATAGGACTTTTTATTGGCAGATGATTATTATTAAAGACAAATAACTATATTAGAAATTAATTTTAAGACCCATACAATGCTTTAACTAAAATAAAAATGTATTTGAGATAAAATTGTGAAAAAACAGGGTTTTACCAGTGCTTATTTTTGATCACTGGCTAAAATGTGATCCAAAAAATCTTATACTGCTCAGAGATCATATTCAGGTTGTTTCTGCAGGTCTGCAGGTTTTTTTTTTACCATTTAGACTTGTAGAATTTCAGCCTTTTGTAGCCAACAGCAACAAATGTCAAAGGAAGCTCGGTGGATTTTAGGGTATGGGATGGATCCAGATTTAGAAAGCTTGAGCATAGTGTTGAATGTCAGATTCACTCCTGGGGGGCTTAGAGGGCGTAAATGTTCACATTTCAATTATAATGAATTATAAAGCTCATCTGTAGAAGTAAATACGGATCAACTTTAATTGGAGTTTATTAATAAAATATGCTTGTAACTACACTGTAATACCAGTTTCTGAACCTTTAAACTCTGGGTGTATGCAGATGTTTCACAGCTCTATATGTTTATAGGCAAATATACAGTATGTGCATATTTATGCATACATAGAATGTATGTTTGTGAATCATGGGTGTTTGCATGGGTGTATGTAAATGTCAGATTGGTATTTTAGTTGATTTAGTTTCCGAATATGCCAGAAAATGAAAAAAAAAAAGCTATTTTAAGTCTAAGTGATCCATCTAAGTAATCCCTTGTGAAAGTTTGTGCTCCTGCATGACTGGACACCAAATCAAACCTGAACTCCAGTTCACCTTGTGTTCTCTCCTGTTGTCTACACATCAATTTGGCGGCCAGCACTAATATCAAGCAATAAAACGTTAACAGACATGTGAGGCGGAGCTGCCCTTTTCTTTTAATTTATTCGGGCCATTTATACATCTGTTCACGTCCCTTCTTACCTTCTGAGCGCCCATCAAGATTGAAGCCTTGCTTTTCGGGCAGCTCAACATCATCTTAATGCAATTCAAAGACCTACATTCTACACCAGAGTTGCCGTGGCAACAAAGTCCCCCCCACCCCCTCCCTGAGATGCTGAAAGATCAATAGAGTATCCTCGACGGTGTGGCAGGAAATGCTCTGGCACAGATGGTCTTCTGAGAAACCATGAGCTTTGTGGCCTAGTTACCATCTGAAAACTAACAAAATCAAAAAGGGTCACTTTTATATTGAAGTTTAATAAACTTGGGCAACAATATTAGATTAAATCTGCACCATAGATCATAAGACTGCAGAAATTATCTCACCCCACTGTAGCTCTTTTATGGGAGTCTATTTAACAGGAAGTATGATCTGCACTGTTGTAGCCTACTTTATTGTTTTAGCTTTCCCAGTGTTAAAAAAAAGGAAATTTATTGTTGGCACTGTGGTGCCAACAATAAAGGGGTGTTGCTAAATAAACAAATTCTCTCTTGGGGGTTTGGAAATTTTCTCACATAGTCAACCACCTAGTGTGTGTTATTTGCACATGGAAATGGTTTAACCTCAGTATAAATGGGACTTAACACAGGAAATAATTATGTGTGCTGGTTGTATTTTCATCTTGCTTGTATATTGTTTGTTGAATAAATTCCACAGGAGCTGTTAAGGTGGTCTTATTTCAGAGATAGAGGTTATAGTGGGGGTGGAAAAACAAACCAAGTGAAGGATTGGATCCAGTGCCTTTCTTAACAGACAGTCTAATGGTTTACTGAAGTAATACAACAGTCAGTGTTGAGTAAATTTGATCAGCAACCTTCGAGCCCTCTGGTTTGTGCTTCAAGCTGTTCTACTTCCCTCAGAAAATGGCATCATATCAACACAGATTTTAATGAGAGCTCTGATTGGACAGCAGTATTTCATAGTTAATGAGGTGCTGTTGTCTGTCAGACAGTAGCCAGCCAGCAGAGTAAGCTGGGAGTTTTCATTTGCTGGCTGTCAATTTCTCGCATCTCTATCTTGAACATGCGTAAAAACTTGAATGAATAACGTAAAGCTTGAAAGGTGGAGAAAGAGAGCTTGGCTTGTTTGTTGTATTTCTGCTATGAAATTTGACATGTGGCATTCAAAATATTCCATTAATTTCGCTGCAGGCCTTTTATAATAAAATTTAATTTAGACCTATTGTTACTCTAAGCATTATATGCTTGCTTTGGGCACAATTGGGGACAAAATCGGTGGTGTTAAGGCACGTCAGCACCACCTCAACATGGTGGAACGTAGATAAAAAGGCTCTAAAATTAGTCACAACAAATTGGATGAAGCATCAAAAACGGTGAAAAACAGACACTATTTGTGTTTAAAATCCCCAGCCAGTTTTCCTGAGTGAATTAAAATAAAAGAGAGCTGGACCTTTATTAAAAAAAAAGGAAGAGAGACATTACTGTTGATTGACACATTGGATCTGGCAGGGATCAAAAGTGTCACACTGTGGGGGTGGATGGGGTGGTGGTGGGCTGCAGCAACTCACAGTATGTCATTCTCTAAACCAAGAAAAGAGAAATAAGTTGTCATCCCTTTACTTTATTGGCATTAACAGGCTCTCTCATCAACAGTGAAGCTTAAGGCATTAGCAATCAAGATGGATGCCAAAGAGGGTAAAACCACTGGCAATGTGGCATCAGCACATCACCGTTTGTGTTCCACTGGGGTCTCTTATGGTTATTACAGCCAAGAATCACTTTTTACTCCCGTCACCACAGGCGTGTTCTCTCCGAGAATGAAATCAATACCTTTAAATGGGAATCAGAGAGTCAGAACATCCTCAACGCCTCTGTCGGATGGATTCAAAAACAAGCTGTATTTCCGCCGTTTTCACCTTTACTTTTTGTTGCCGTGATTTACATGACAGGTTTCTGTCTAATTTTTGCAGTACATCTCAGAAGCACGGGGAGAGAGAACGTGAAAAGGTCATAAAAATCTTTGAGCCCTGTTGACAAGTGCCCTTTTCTACCTTTAATTCTCCATCCTGATGTGAAACTCAGAGCAAGAAAAACACACAACCCTTGTTATGGAAATGTACATAGCATGTAGTTACCTAATATAGGAAAACTGTCCTGTGATCATTCAAGAAATTATATGATTCAGTGGTGATGTAGTCTGGTGGCACAAAAAAACATTCTGTTATTTCCATTAAAAGGCTACAGAGACATGGGCTCCTGACAGCGTTGGTGCAGCCTTTCATCATCCCAGGTGCCATTATTTCAGAAAAGCTCCATTTCATTTTGTGATTGATACCTTGCTGGCAGTCTCAGCAATCTTGGTCAGAGTCTGGATTTTTGCAGCATGCTCTCATAAAGGCTATGATGCTATTTATTAATTCAAAGATCTCTATTTTCTGACTCAGTTTCTATCTTATTTCTCTTTGTCTGTCTCAAATACAGGACCTGGAAGCTGATCAACTATGGACCGGCTGGTTGTGTGCGTGCTGCTGTGTGCAGCTCTGGTGAAGGGATACAGCTGCCCGGGCCGCTGCATCTGCCAGCACCTCTCTCCCACTCTGACTCTGCTCTGTGCTAAGACTGGTCTGTTGTTTGTACCCCCAACCATAGACCGCAAGACCGTCGAGCTGCGACTTACTGACAACTTCATCACAATCATCCGCAGGAAAGACTTTTTCAACATGACTAGTTTGGTCCACCTCACCTTGTCCCGTAATACCATCAGCCAGATCACCCCCCATGCCTTTGTCGGCCTGCGATCTTTGCGGGCGCTCCACATGGATGGAAACCGTCTCAGTGTGATTAAGAGTGACCACTTTAAAGGCCTCATCAACCTGCGTCACCTCATCCTAGGAAACAACCAGATCCACCATGTGGCCCCCACCTCCTTCGATGAGTTTGTTGCCACCATAGAGGACTTAGATCTTTCTAATAACAACCTGCGTGGCCTTCCCTGGGAAGCCATAGCCAGAATGACCAACATTAACACACTCACACTGGACCACAACCTGATTGATCACATTGGAGCAGGGACTTTTACGCTGCTCACCAAGCTGGTCCGCCTGGACATGACCTCTAACAGGCTGCAGAAGCTGCCACCAGACAGCCTGTTCCAGCATGCACAGGTCCTGTCTGATGCCAAGGGCTCCAGCTCCTCCACTCTGGCTGTGAGCTTTGGTGGAAACCCTCTTCACTGTAACTGTGAGCTGCTGTGGCTTCGCAGGCTGACAAGAGAGGATGATCTGGAGACCTGTGCTTCGCCAGAGCACCTCATGGATAAGTATTTCTGGTCCATCCAAGAGGAGGAGTTTATCTGTGACCCTCCGCTGATCACCAAACATCTTTCCACTAAGCCCTTTGTGATGGAAGGGCAGGGTGTGACTCTTAAATGCAAAGCCGTGGGTGATCCAGACCCAGAGATTCACTGGCGGTCACCAGACGGCAAGCTGGTGCATAATAACTCCCGCACCATCCTGTATGATAATGGCACCCTCGATATTCTCATCACCACGCTGAAGGACAGCGGGGCATTTAATTGTGTGGCGTCCAATGCCGCAGGCATTGCCACAGCTGCTGTTGAAATCAACATGATCCCCTTACCCTTGTTTGTTAACAACACAGGCCACATGCGCGAGGACCCCGGCCTCTCAGACATCACCACCTCCTCCAAATCTGGCAATGACACCAAGGGCTACGACAAGCAGGACAGGAGGGTGATGGTCACCGAGCTGACCTCCTCCTCCGCTGTGATCCGTTGGCCATCTGAGCGCCACATCCCCGGGATCAGGATGTACCAGATTCAGTACAACAGCACGGCAGATGATACTTTGGTGTACAGGTAAGCCATGGTGGAGGGGGTAGAGGGATTGAGAGAGGGGAGGGTGGTAGAGCAGGGACATGAGGAAAGGTGAGACATCTGGAGTTACCATCTGCTGAATGACACAGCGGTACGTTATGGCAGATTGACAGATCCCAAAGATGCAAAATGATTAAGTATGTCCACAAATAAGCGCAGCCCATATAGTGTACTCTGCGGTATAAACTCAGGATGAATGTTTTTCCATAAATTTAAATGCATTAAAATGCATTGTAATATGCACAAAATGTACAGTACACTTAAGATATTTATAGATTCAGCAAATCATTTTCTATCTCCGATGTTTGAGTAGATTTTCAGCATCATTAAAACATAATATGTCAATAAACAATAACATGAGGGCCAACTACTTCACTGCATGTAACTGTTTGTATAATTAGCAAGTGTCTGCATTAATTGTTTAAACACAGAGTGTGGTTACATGTGATTGTAATGATAGGCTTGGTTGCAGTGGAGAAAGAAGTATTCAGATTATTTATTTACTTTAGGTAAAATAGCAATACACTATACCATTACTGGTACACTATAAAAATACTCAATTACAAGTAAAAGTCATGCATTCAAAATTACTAAAATTACTACAGTAAAAGTAGAAGTGTTATCAGCAAAATGTACCTAAAGTATCAAAACTCTTAAATTATATTTATTTGAAAAAGGTCCCCTGTGAGTGATATGCTATTATTTATTACGTTATCATAATTTTAACACTGATGCAACAATTTGTAAGCAGATGCTGGTTGGATGAGATGGAGCTAGTTTGAGTTACTACTAATTAGTTGGATTCATCCAGTGGTTCGTAAACTACGGGTCATAAAATATATCTGAGGGGTCCTAGGATGCTTAATGGGAGGAAAGAACAAAAAAGCTAAGTTCTGCTACACAAGTTTGTATTGTTTTTCACTTTTCTCAGTTTACAAAATTTTGGAACATTTAACCCTTTTGGCCTCAAACAGGTATTCAGTTGAAAACTCATGGACATCTGAAACATGACAACAGATGTTGCATTTTTGTAAGAGGTAATGAGCCAAACAAGTTCAAAACCAATGTTTTAGTTTACAAGATTATAATGTTGTTAAAGTAAAATATTAATCTGAAAAAAGTAACTATAACTTCAGCTTTTAAGATTTTCCCCGTTTTCCCATGAAATGTATTTAAGTAAAATGGACATAGTCAAGTAAAGTACCTCAAAATTGTACTTAAGTACAGTACATGAGTAGATGTGAGTAAATGTAATTTAATGTTGTAGTCAAGGTAGAGCTATCACACTTTATAGGCCAACTAAATGGTTTGTATATAAATTCTTATTCTGAAAAGGAGCTAGTAACGAAAACCTGAACTAAATCTGGTATACTGAGAATTATTTCAGGATTTATGTGTTCATGGAGCGAGTTAATAATAGTGGTCGACTTTCTTTTTATTTTTTTTTATTTTAGATTCTATTAGATATAATGAGTCACTCTCCTGTATAATTTTCTCATCCAGTTTAGGCATGGAGCTGAGTGTTGTTTTGTCTTTAGGTGGTACATTATTACCTACAAATGATAACCATCAAACTCCTCCTTTAGGGAAAAGGAACAAGCTTCTAATTATATTAACGCCAATGTTGACCTGAAGACAATGCCTTCCTCCATTGTATTTAGAGTCGAATAATCTTGCAGTTGCCAACAAAATGTGACCTTAGGTATTCACACATCAAAACTGCTTTCATATCATGCGTCACTTGTCCTGTAGCCTGCAGCTGTTGTGGCATATTCTTTAGACAGCGAGCCTCCTCTGCCTTGTTTATCACCTTGCAGTTTACATTTTATACACAAACCCAATAGAGCAACTGCTCACTGCTGTTTTATAATGTAACATATTCTCTCATAAGTCAACTTTAATGAAGTGTTGTGCTTTTTATGTTTGTCTACCAGAATGAGTGATATTTAATGCCAGTGCTGCAATTCCCCTGTTGTCTTTTTGAGGTGTGGGACTGACACCTTTGTGTGATTTAATACACCTTATGCAAATCAGTAAATGTGGGCGTTGTAATTCCGATGATTACTCGGCTACATCTTCACCACCACACTATGTTTCTTTTCTCTGCAGAATGATCCCATCTACCAGCAAGAACTTCTTAATCAATGATCTGGCCGCAGGACGGGAGTATGACCTTTGTGTGCTGGCGGTTTACGACGACGGCATCACATCATTAACGGCCACACGTGTGGTTGGCTGTGTGCAGTTCCACACGGCCAGTGAGGTCAGCCAGTGTCGCTTCATGCACAGCCAGTTCCTGGGAGGCACTATGATCATCATTATTGGTGGTATAATTGTTGCTTCTGTCCTGGTTTTCATAATCATCCTGATGATCCGTTACAAGGCCTACAGCAGCCCAGAGGACAGCAAGACCAAGGTCAGCTCCAGCATGCACTCCCAGACCAATGGCAGCCAGCAGCGGCTCCAGCGCTCTGCCTCCAAGCAGCCCTCTGACGAAGGCCAGCGTGAAGCCCTGGTGCCCAAAGAGTGCTTGGCGCTGGTGCTGAAGGTAGACAATGAGAAGAGGGAGGATCCAGCAGCCACCACTGCCATCCTTGAGGTAGAGCTGCCTCCCCTGACTGTAGACAAGATGAAGAGAAGGACAAGCCTGGATGCACAGCGTTCTGGACCCCCATCTGACGACACGCAGACTGACAGTAGCCTGACGGGCTCCACCATGTCCCTTTGTCTCATAGGCTCCAATGCTGGCACCAAGGAGGCACCCAGGCTCAAGGACAAGAAAAGTGCCTTGGCCAACATGGGATTGCTCCCCAATGAGCTGGCACGAACTAGGCACAGATTTTCTTTTGACGGAGGGGATTACTCCATTTTTCAGAGTCATAGTTACCCACGCAGAGCGAGGACGAGGTGGCACAAGTCCACCAACCAGCTCAACATGGAGTCATCGCCGCTCGCCAACAGGAGAGTCACGTTCAGTAGCACTGAGTGGATGCTTGAGAGCACAGTCTGAGGAGAGCAGTGTAGCTGAAAGAAACGGCTCAGCCACACGCAAACATACACATGTAAAAACACAAATATGTCTACATGCCATATGACAGACACGTTTCTCTTGCGCACAGCAAATGATAAACACAAGCACATTTACTTACACATGCAAACTTTCTGTGAGTTGCTGGAGAAGAACACAGTCTCCCTTCATCCTGCCTCCCCATCATACTCCCAGAGAGGTTTGTTGGCCATGTCCTTTCTTTATGCAGCAGTGCCTTATTAAAAAAAAATGTACGAATGGAGGATGCTGCTCACTGTAGTCATAAACCTTCCTCTCTATTATTGCCTCCCTATAATGGGAAGCATTTCTTTGGATTTTTAAGTTTCTCCTTTTTCTGTGACATGCCAAGAGAGTATGGCGTTTGGATGTGACTGTTTAATTGTTTAAAAAAGGAAAAAAACAAACAAACAAACTTCATCATAGCTGTAAAGTGGACAGCCAGGTATCCTGTTATGTCAATCATGTTTTGGGTTCTATCAACAAAAAAAAAACTTTTGCACAGAAGACACGAGATACAAGGACAAGTATCACCACCAGTCTATACAATAATAATTATTAAAAAGAAAGAATAGGATTTTACACATGCCGATTTCTAATGTTAGCATAGAGAGGATGGACCTGGAAACCAACCGTGGATCCTGCTCTGATGGTCGGACTGTATTATGTTAAATAGGTATTGTTCCAGATGTGACTGTATATTAATCGGTACTGTATCTGGCTGGTCTAGATAAAAAGACAACCAACAAAAAAGACATATATAAGTATATTAAAACATTGGTGTATGTGTACTAACTATGTAAGTAAGTCAAGTCATATGTCACATGACTTTTTACAAAGCATTTGGGTGTTGGCTGCAAGTTTTTACATTAAAAACCTGTGTCATCACACCTCGCCCTTATTTAGTATGTCAAAGTTTGGACCATTTATCCCCTCACGAAGGGTATTAAATTTTTTGTGTGGGTTAACTGTATCAGTGGCATTTTTTTCCTGTGCTTGAGGAGCAACAGTGTGTGTCCACTGCAGGGAGGTACACGCAAATTGAGATAAATATTTGATTCCTGAGTACTATTTATAAGGCTTCTGTGAAAGCTGCATGGAGCAGAGTTGGGTGTGGGACAATGAGGGACATGATAACTGGACGTGGTGCTGAATCCAAATGCAGCCAGCTGTTATTGGCAAGGGTGTGGGATATGTTGCTTCCCACTAGAGGGAGACAAAGCTTAGGTTTTTAAGGTTCACTTTTTCTCAAAATCTAATTCTGGATGGACTGAAGACTTAGATCTTGAAAAACGGGTAACACTTTACTTAGACCTCCCTTATTTATCACCTACGTCCAGCACTGCATGTAAACAGCTATTACATGGTTTATAAAACATTATTATGTAGTTGTAAGTCGAGAAAAGGACATTTTTAAATGTTTATGTATTGTCAACATGTTTTACTCCTTTTGTGAAGCGCCTGTAACTGTGTATAAACAGAGCATGAATGATTAATAGCAAAATATGACAGCTATAATCATGTTTAATTATGTGTTATCATTACACACATGAATAAATCCTTAAAGTATGTGTTAAAAAACATTTGACTGAAAAAAAAACCACTAGATAAATTCACTCAGATTAAAAACGATTCATAAGTATGTTCAAAACTCATGAAGACATTTTGAGCTTTCTACCGTATCCCATGGCCTTCACTGTTTGCCAAGTTGTCATGGGCGAGTGAAGAAGTTTATAAATAAATAAATACTGCATTCATAAATAAAAAAGAGAAATTTTTGTATCATTAAAACTGATATATTGTAAATAATTTACTAACTGTTTAAACTGATGCTTCATAAGAGGAGTCATAATTGTTGACAAATCAATTCATAAACACTTTAATTTTCCCAAAATTAATATCTGCTTATTATAATGTGTTATAAACCTTTTTTTTTGTATACTATGCATATAAATGCTTAACACAGGGGGTGAAATAAGGTGTTATTATAATTAAACATAAGGTGTAGTATGGAGTCAGGCCACAAAATCTTCCATAGTTGTAAAACTGCAAACTGGGTTGAGATCTAGTGACTTAAAAGCCTGTAGAATTTTGGTCACGTCATTTTCAAACTAACCAATCCCTTTAGTGAACCCTGATGCACAGAAGCATCTGCATTTGAGGTTTTTCTTTTAACCCCCTCTCCACTCCCCTCCCCTCCCCTCTCCTCTGTAGGCTTGACAGTGGGAAAAGATATGATCAGGGTGGATGAGGATTTGTTTGCTACTACAGACTCTGATTACAGCACTACTTAACACAGGCTGAGATGAAACGGAGCTGCATTTACAGCAAAGAGATAAAACATAGAGCAGAGAGATAAGTCACACTGGAGGTTTTCCATCCTCTTGAATCTCCTATTTGCATCCTCAGTGACTGAGACGATTGAGTCTTAAGAACTGGGCCAACTCTTCCTTTCTCCTCATCACACTTAACCAGTTTTAGCATTCTGCTTTTAAGGTCAGCCACAAAAGTTCACATTCGACATAGCCTAAAATACTGGTTTTCCTGCTAGAACAAGACTTAACTTTAGGGTGTACATACTCAGCTGTCAGTTAGTGGTGCACATATTTTTCAACCACTGTCAGTCTCCTCATTAACTGCTGATGGTTTCCAGTCTGGAAATGTGTTGGTGGCCATTTCTCACAACAGGAGAAAAAGTATTTCTGTCTGTTCCTATCTGTAACCATTATTTAACACAAAATCTGCTTAGGCAGAAGGAGACTGACTTCACCCAATCTTCAGAATTGGCCAGGGTAGCCAAACTAGCGGACACTGGGGGTAGAGGAAAGTATGTGGTGTCTCATCAGCATTTCTGAGTGACTGCAACAAATGTGCCTTAATTTGGTGAGGATGAGGGGGGTTTTCCAACTGAAGATCCCATTATATATTTAATACATAGTAATGCGAGTTTAAAAAGTCCAATCTGAACATGGTTTAGTACTTACAAGACTTAAAGTCTTGTCCATGCTGTCTGCTCCACATTACTACTTTTTTCAACAAACTTTATTCCAACTGTGCTGAAACTTACAACACTACAACACTAATGCAAAATTTGGACCTTTTTTTTCTCTGTGATTAGTTTATTTCATCACACTTATATATGACACCTGCAAACTGACTCCAAACTGCAATTGTCCGATCCAAATGGATCCTTGTGTTGCTGATTTTCCAGTAGCCTCATATCTGTGTGTGATGCTTGTATAACTACAAATTTCAATCATTTATTTATGTATTTTTTTTTCTGTCTCCTGAAAATCAAGTATATCAAGACAATTCATACAGTTTCTGTGGAGAGAGAACTTCTCCAACTATAGCAAACTATTGAAACTGTAAATAAAGATTTTGTTTTCCTGCTGCCATCTCAACTATTTGGGGAGACTTGCAGTACTAGTCATTAGCATAAAGTCACACCCGTATTGAGTAATGGCTTTTTGACAGCTACAGCATGAAAGGCACACACATTTCATTATTTGTAATGTAGCAGGAAAATGTATTATTTGCATTTATTTCTAAACAAGATTTAAGAGTCCACCGCAATGTTAGCGGTTTTGTAAGGCTGTCCTATTCTGCATTGAGCTGAATGCTAACGTTAGCCTGCTAACATGACTACATGCTTTTTCCACAGTGGGGGCACGTGAGTGAGGGCACTAGAGGAAATGACGGGATCACCGAAGTCATTAGGGTACATCTTTTGGGAACCATTTGCAAATTCATCCAGTAGATTTTGAGATATCTGTCAGCCACTTTGGACCAAATTGGTGGAACGACAGATCAACATTGCCATCACTCGAGTTGTGCAGCTTGCATGGTTTAGAACTGCACACAAGACTTCTGTTAATTGTGGAAACAGCGCCATTACTTCTGCTATCTAAACCATTTGTGGAGACTTGCAGTAAGGGACATTTACAAAGAGTTGCGCCCTGTAGCCTATTAAGGAAGGGCTTTTTTCAAAAAGCTACAGTTTGAGGTGCACATATATTCAATATCCTATTTATTGGTTATTTTTTCTTGATAATAATTGTATGAATAAGTTGTCTTAACTAGATATATGCAGCTCGTATTAACCCTGACAATATGTTCTATAAAGCTCAGTCAACACGATTTGACCAGCCAAATTTAATTTACTTTTTTCTATTTCCAAGATTCGGGCAGTTGCAGCCAAGCTCAACACAGCCCACTCTGCTGCTTACAGAGAACACTTAGCCTATTGACACAGACTCAGCAAAGTGCTTCGGGCTCTTCCAGTACACACGCACACACATTTTCAAAATGGTTTACCAACACTTCCTTCAGCATCAGATTATCTAAAAATACTCAGATGGCTCTAGCCTACCACTTCTTACCAGTATTATTTAGACTTTGACTGTTTGAAAAATGGTAAATACAAAATGTAGTCTGACAAGTGTGATAGGAAGAAACTGACAAGTGGTACAGAACACGGTGCTAATAAGGTCTGAATAGTTCTGTTATTGAATCTTTTTCTCAGGTATTAAATTCACCCAAAGTACTACATTACGTAAGCAATAAGACGACCTGCAGCTCTCTTATAGAGAGCCGAACCATAGAGTGGTCTTCCATTAGTATAGCAGCCAAAGAGCACTTCTGCAAATCACTAAATAAATTCACTTTGATCATGAATAACATCTTATTAAGGTATATCTCCTGCATCATAAGACTGCATGTTCAAACTGGGACAGGACTGCGGTGAGGTCTTTGATCCATGATGGCCTATAGAGAGGAAGCCCCCTCTATGTATTGCTTTACAAATAGCCTGACAAATCAAAAAATCACAACTCAAATCATAAATTTTTTAGTTTTTAGTAAGTATAAAAGTATGAATTATTAACTCACTTATCTAGTTTTACACTGCCACCTCATTAAACTGCTGTATTTGGCTCAGAACACATGATGTTATCTTAACAGGCAGGTGGATCTTACATTTATAGTACAGGATGTTTACAACTCCATCATTTTATACTCTGTGACAAATAGTGACACATAACCATTTCTGTTAAAGTATATTCTCTAATTTATTTGACAACAGATGTATGATTCAGAATAATACAGACCTGTATGGAAATTGCTGTGCTGCATACAAATATAATACAAATTAAAAACAAAATGAATAAAATACAATGCACATCCTATAATAATTGGTGAGGAAACTTGGGAGACAAAGGGTCTCCTTGTGAGGCAGACCGAATGAGGAGAAACTAAATGATCAATCAATGAGCCTGCAGCTGACAGAATTCTCCATGAAGCATGAGGCAGGTACCGCACCATCCCTCTCCATGCTGCCTGCTGTCTGTACTGCCGATCAGTGTGCTTCAAGCCACTGCAGAGGTGGATGTGGAATTGCTTCACAGAACGCCCACAGAGAGGGCCGAGAGCGCAGGTTTGTTGATGTCTAACAAAGTACAAAACAGAATGGGTAGAGAAAAGCCCCGTGTGAATTTTAAGGCGAACAAAGGAATCTGCAGTCGTTTTCCTGGTTGTTTCCTGAGCTGTGCGTCTGTCCATGGTTATGCATCTCAGTCTCCAGAACTATCATCTGAGCTGTCCTCACCTGCTGCTTTCCAGTTTTTCCTCCTCTTCTTTATTGAGTTCGGCCCCGAGTCTGAGTCTTTGTGGGAGTCCTGCTTTCGCTTTTTGCGACGGTGAGTCCGTCTCTCCCTTTCTCTTTCATCATCACTGTCCCCTAAGCTACTGTCCTCATCCCTCTCTCTAGTTTTAGCCATTTTCTTGTTTTTATGACGACTTTTAGTCCTTTTACTCTGCTTCTCGTTGGCAGCACTGCTGTCATCGCTGCTGCTCGTGCTCTCCGCTTTCTTGCGCTTTCCTTCCTCGCCTTTCCTTTTCCTTTTCTTTTTCTTCTTTCGAGATTTTTTTGACCTTTTTGATAAGCTTGCTTCCGTGTCAGACTTGGACTTTTTCATTTTGTGGTGCCCAGTTTTCTTCGTGGCACTGTTTTTTTCACTAAAGAAAAATTGAACAAAATAAATGTACGCTACACAGTGAATTGGTATAATTTTATGTATGACATAATGAATTAAATTTTACACATCACAATCAGTTTATTTGTCATAAAGGGTGCTACTCGGCTTTTGAAGGGACACAGTTGTGTAATCTCTTCTGGAGCTCTGGAGGGGCTTTCTAAAATCTGATACAACATAAAAAAAAAAACACCTTTAGGCCTCAGTGTTTTAACTGAAAGTTTGCTTGGCATTCACATCATATGGGTAGAGATGTTAAAGATTCCCATGTTAACAACTTGCAAATGTCCACATCATCAAGATATGTATGAAAAAGGAGACAATTGTGTGAGGATTAAAATACGTCCATGGTATGTACCACCGTATTAGTAAGTGTCAAGTCAGATATATCTGAGCTTTCAGAAAACTTTCTGAAACTTTGATATTGATAACACTGCGTAACAAAAGATGTCATTCCGTTGCATTATGAGAAGTGTAGGATCCATGTTTTTCGGAGCTGGATATCTCAACTCTTTGTGGCATTCATTTATAAAAAATAAAAAAAATTCATCTTTCTCTAGCTTGACCCCCAATGTCATGGAAGTGTTAAATCGCTGGAGTGCCCCTTTAAAATATGAGTTGCATATGTAGCTCAATTCTAATGTTTTGATTATTTGATGCATCGCTATACTTTTGCTTACCTGTCACTTTCAAACTCCTCCGGATAAAGCTCCTTGAAGCCACTATGTCCCCATCTGTAAAGTCAGCACATAAGATAAGCTTTCTCATTTTACTTCTTTTCACATTTGAGAAGTTAGCCACTCATTTTTCCAAAAAATGCAAGAACCTAAAATCTATTCAGATGAAGATTTAGTCATGTAATGTATATGTAGCTTTGGCAATATTGTTGCTATACATTCATGGCAATAAAGCTAATTTGAATTTAATGTACCTGTCAGGATCACTGGCCTTAAATTCATACAGTTTGCGAGACCAGTATCGAGCCTCTCTGTCATCATGTTCTGAGATTCGCTCTCTGCTTCGACTCAAGTCTCTGGGTTGATCTGGTACTCGATTCACTCGCCCCCTGAAAAACAACCATCATTAATAAATCAAATGGTAACAAACAGTAACAGCTCTCTATACTGAGACCAACATTATGAAACATCCTTCCAAATGACCTCTGGTGTGCGTTCAGGTGGCTCAAAATAAACTTAGACATTCACTGTTGCTACCTCACACACTCCGTATCTGACAAATGTTTGTGGTGGGATGTTGCGGTCTCCCAGTCTCGCATTTTCCACATCTCCATCTCCTCCTGGATCTGCAGTGGGTCAACAAGTAAGTACATTAAAGGATTGCCCAGACGCACAGACTAACACCTATGAATTCACCAAAAGCAACTGTACAGGATTCAAATATTAAAAGCAGTAATATACAGTATACATTCTTCAAGACTTGTAAAGAACAAAAACATTTGTGAAACATTCAGTTTGTGAATGTGTTACCTACATTTATATCTTAGTACAATGATATTTGTCACCTGGGTGTGAAAGTGGATCAGTGCATCACAAAACGCTTAATCCATATACAGGTCAACAACACATCTCTAAGATAAGATTTCGCTCCTGGACAGAAAAACGTCACCTATTTTAATAATGGTATAGTAATAATGGTAAATTAAAGCCTCACAAATGTGAGGATTTGCTGCCTTTCTTTGTCTTATGCATCAAGCAAACTGAGGACGTCGCATTAAGGTTTATGGGATTCATTTAGAAAACAAATACTAGATTACTCAGTAATGAAAATAATAGAGGCAGTTCTACAACAGATTGATCTGACTTAAGTGTTCATCAGAATCAGAGCTTTTCAGACAATGTGAATGTTTTCAGGGTATCATAAAACAAGGTTATAACGTTACTTGGGGGGAGTAAGTTTTTCTTGCATTCTCAGCCCCATCCAAGGTGGAAACCAAGACAGTGATGACTTGTTTCTATTAGCCTGCATTAGTTTAGATAGGTATACTTATATAAATAAACTGGCCACTGAGTACGTTTCCCACTTGTCACACAAACGCATGAACTCACCTTGTTGTGGGCATCTGTGTGGCGGATTACATTCCTCAGCAACGTCTTCCCCAACGGCTGCTTTGACATGATGACACCTGGCATGAGACAAATGTAAGTGATCCACAGACAAGACCGATCGTTTTTTAATACCCCTAAGGATAACGTTAACGGTGATAAGTGCAAACAGATCTTACTGATACATGATTGCAGTAATTACTCTGTAAACGTTAACGTTACATGAACGCTCAAAATCACCTGTTAGCCTACCTCGCTAGCTAACACTGTTGGATATTAATATACAAGACTAGTATCAAGTAACAAGAATCTATTGCTTGCAGGTAGTTCAAAGAACATAAACTACTCTTTCACCGTTATTTCGTGCATGTGAACAAACTGTACCTTTTCAAAACGAGTGGCATTCAAGAGGAACAACACACAGCTCACAGCCAGACTGTATATAAAAAGCTCACAGCCTTTACCGGCACTTCCGCTTTACTGATATACGTAACGTCGTCGAACTTTGGACGTCACTGAACGTTTGAAAACTTGAGCTGTGATTGGTCCAAATCGTCCGTCAATCATCGTGGCAAAAGCAGTGAACCTTTCTGCTAGTGGATATTCAACAATGAAAATGTTTAACTGCCAGATTAACGGTACCGGTATTTTGAATTTTGAAAAGTGAATAAATAAAATATAAGTAAACATTCGATAACAAAATAAAATAATATTTTAAGCCACCATTTTAAAGAACTACTAATACCCACAGCTAATTAGCAAAATTTTTGAATGGCATGGCTTATGTGAACTGGATGCTAGTGCTGACGGTCACACTGAGAGTCAACGCCTCATTTCTTTAGGTTAGGTGGACGAAAAAAGTAAGCGATGAAGAGAGTCAAATATTTAGCAAGCAAAAAATAACTTACAAGAGAGAGAGGCCTCCAGGTGGAAGACCATGTTGCTCATTTCTGCTAGATGTGTAAGTACCATAGAGTGAATGGCAAGTACCCAACTGATTATATAGTGTTAGCTACTGTAGTAGCAAGTTGGCAACATACAGTATGTCCAATAATCACCTTGGTTTTATTTATCGTCGTAAGAATGTGCAAAGCTAACAACATCACTTTGAGGTATATGAGACCCCATAACACAGATTCAGTGGTATATGTTACACAAGATGTATGTGCATGTAAATACATACTCATTAAATACAAACAGTTTTTGAGTCACATACAAACAAACTAATTAGGCTTCAGCCCATTTAGAATACCCTGGTGATTACACAAGCCAATATTTTAAAGGCACAATATGTTAAAGAGCAAGTGGTCTTCAAGACTAATCAGTAGTTTTCATAAGTAGTCTACTTGGTTACATGTATGAAGCCGCTCCATATTAACACTGACTGAGAAGATGATTGTGTGCTCCCAGTATTACCCAGAGGAAATCATCTTATTCTATGTATGTATGTTTGACCTAAATTTGGAAAACTGTCAGCTGTATGCCAAATTTGCATCTGCTAGCAGATATAGAATTTTTATAGAGTTGTGTCTTGCAGCATGATTGTGCACTACATCAAACTCCACTTTGAAGCTGCGGCTCAACTGTAGGCTGCAGGCATTTTATATAACTGAACTGCTTGAGCCTTATTATCAAAAACATGCAGTTTTTTTACAGAAAAGCTAGACCTTGTTGGATTATTGTCCTCATGCAGGTATCAGTTTTTTTCAAGATGATTGATGCTTAGGCCTTTCAAGTTCTGACACTAATCACTGCAGACAGTTTTTGACAGGAATTGTAGACAACTGAACTGAAGGAAAAAATGTTATTTCCTTTCAAAATAGATAATTTATTTTAACGTCTCTAAAGCAGGTTTTTCAGTCTTTGTTGTCTCTCACAAGTCAAACCAGATTTGAAACAGTGGCGTCAAAAGCATTGAGGACTGAACTATTGAAAACAATCAAAATTTAACAACATGCGTGACAATTATTTTATATTAAAGCTGCAGAGGAGTCAATTTGTCATTGATGCAAAGTAACCAACAACATTTACTCAAGTCCTGTACTTAAGTTCAGTTTTCAGGTACTTTTACTTTACGTGAGTTTTTCTATTTTATGTAACTTCATACTTTTACACAACTGCATGTTAAAGGTAAAGTTGTACTATCGAGATATCTGTATAAGAATGTAACCCTGAATCTGACACTGGATCTGAATACTTCTTCCAACACTGCTATTTATTAGCTTTTTTTCAGTCATGTTTTTGTTTGTTAGTAAGAAATTAGTAAGCAAGATGCAAATTTGTTAGCAGATTTATTATTATTTATTATTATTTGGGTTTAGGCCTGGATCTAAGTGGATCCAGGATTTTTAAAGAATTGTAATTTAAAAAAAAAAATTATATATATCTAATTTATTAAAATAAAGTATCTTCTTCATATAAAGAAATAAACTTTTCCCAACCTTAACAGAGGTATGAGCCCTGTGTAAGAATTTTCAGATCATTTCAGAGCAAAATGGTTTATTTCACAATGGAAGTTATTACATGCACAAATATTTTGGACAATAGCTGATTTAAAATGACTTTCAATCCCATTTCACTTATTCTAGTGTTATCTCCCAAACAATAAAGCTGAACAGCTACAGACTTCTTTTCTGAATTGCATTTGACAACAAAAATGGATGGAATTTTCAAGGCCAAATCTTATCAGTACATGTTGCTTCATGCATATGTGTTTCAAGGTCACTGAAATAACAAAGATGGGTAACTCTTGTTTCATATTGCAGGCACAATAATAATCTACAATCAGAATCCATAGTGACCACACAAACAATCTGTTCTATCTTTGCAACGTATTTGATTTACAAATTGGCTGACTGCATGCTGTCTCTGTGGCAAACTGGCTTTCTTCTCACCTCCTGGCTCCCCAGCCGTGGAATGACTTTCCCACCACACTCTGAACAGCAAAGTCACTTCTTATCATCCATGCATGAATAGAATATTCTGTTTTTTCCCTCAACTTTGTTTCCCCCAATTCCCTCAGACACATCTTGGTCTGCCAAATCTGCCTGTTCTGTACCTGAATTTGTCCTTGTCTTTTCAATATTAGATCAAAAACATTCAAAGTGATGCTCAAAAGAAAAAGAACGAGTGCAATTAATATAAATTAATAAAAAAAAAAAATAAATAAAAAAAAAAAATATATATATATATATATAAATCAGAATCAGCTTTTTTGCAGCCAGGTATGTGTACACAAACGAGGAATTTGACTCAGGATTGTACATTGCTCATGATGTGCTTACTCATGCAATAACACAATAATAAAATAAATCAGACACAGGCTACAGTGTAGACAATACAAATATACACACTATGAACAAAGGTGGAAGTAATATACAGGTACACATACACGTACATGTATACATGTTCACATGTATACAGTGCAAAGGATGTATATACAATATGACAATATAACAGTATGAACAGCACTGAGATAGAGAATGGTGAATAAATAATAAGTAATAACCAGTAAACAGGTGGCTGATTAGAGACATATATGTTCAGCACATAAACCCCTCTGTCCTTAGACCCTGTTCCTTTATGTAATTGTTATGTATTTACATTATTGCTAGTCTTTGTTAAGTGCACTGGCAAAATAGAAACAAATTTCCCCTTCGGGATCAATAAAGAATCTCAGATTCTGATTCTGAGTAAGAACATAGAACAGAATATTATTCTTGTCTCCTTTATACTAACACTCCACCCCATTTATTTTATATATTTAGTTACTAGCTTCTTTGCAGATTCAGATTATCACAATAAATAATCAATAAATAAATGATGATGTATTATTGTAGATTACACTACCCAGCAGTATTAAAAGTAATAGAATTAGCCCTGCCTTTACCAGTTACAACATTAAAGTGATGCTTACAAATAAATGCTGGTGGTCTACATACATTTTCATGGCTCTGTATTACCACTCTACAGTAAAGTAGCTCATTGAAGCGTGTGTTGATGGTGCTCATACAGAATTTAAGACACTGTCATTTTGTTCTGGGCCAAACAGCAAGCTGCCACGTGGAGACCTATTTCACATTCTTGCTGATGACACCAGAAACATTTCTAACAGCTTAATGACAGAGTACTCAGCCAAAACGCCTTTCAAAAGTGTACTTAACACAAGCAGCACACATCACAGAGAACCTTTTGTTTCTGTTGCCTGCTTCTTAAATTATAAATGACACTTTTTTTACATTTTGGCTTAAACTGATGGCTGTAGTTTTCAGGACATTCAGTTTTATGAAGGTTTTCTGTCACAATTGCAGTAAAAATGCTGTTTACTGACAGTACACATCAATGAATACTGTGGAAAAAAAGCTATAATATTCAGCTGATGTTTGCATTCTATAAATATCATTTTCTGCTTGCTTATTCCCAAGTAACTCCGTACTTCCTCTGACTGTGTAAATATATCATTAGCCTCTCGGCTCATGTGGTATGATGTGGTTGTGCAAGCCTGTGATTTTGTCAGCAGACTGAAAGACTTCACTACACAGATTTTTAGCCGCAGTGACTTTACAGTACAGAAAAAGCAATGGGAAAGGAGAGAGGAGGAGAAAATCTCCCTCCTCCTTGTGAAAGGAGAGAGCAGTGGGTAGAGGAGGAATGAGGGAGAGGGGGGAGGGTAAACACACCCAGACACAGCTATGTCTGATATCCTCGCGCACTGAAAGAAGGACCGATTCAAAGCCAGTGCGACCAAGCAGAAGAGAAAGAGGGGAAGGAGGGAGGGAGGGCAGAGGGAATAAATGCAAAAAGGCCGACTGTGAAAAAAGGGTGAAAAATATGCACAAGAGCTGCATTAGTTCTTGTCCGCTAAGAACAAAAAACATTGTGTTCGTGAATGGGAGCTGGTGAGCTCAGGCACAAGGCGAGTGCAATGAGAAACCAGGCAGACTTCAGTCGCTGGTGTTGCTGAACACCAATCCTCTCTCCCTCTGTCTCTCGCTGTCTGTCTCTGCCAGCTAGGACTGAGACTTGGTATGATTTATATGGGAAGGGTTCAGGGCTTTTGATTAGGATTGGGAGCTTCATGTTTTAGGATATGCAGCTGGAGAGGATTTGAACGTGCTGTTATTTCTGATTGAACACAGTGTGCGACGTGGAGACTCCTCTGGTGGCTGCTTTCAGGGCTGTTCCCCTCCCTGCTGCCCCGGCTGTGTTTGGGCTATGGTCTTGACTGAGAAGCAGAGCATCACCCAGATGCGGGGCTCTAACTGTATGGGAGGTTAAGCCTGTAAACACCAGCATGGGAGCCAAACAGATGAAATGGTAAGAGCTATTTTTTATCATGATTTGAACATTATGTCAATACAAGCTTCTGTCTTTGTCTACAGTGCACGACTGCATCAGTAGCACAGATGTACAAGACAGTAGGCCTAAATTCAGCAAACAATACATCTTAAACATCTTGATCGGCATGTCTCAGTGTTAGCATTAAAGATGGATTTCACCAGAACAATATGACTTTGATTAACCTGTGAAGGTTATTGTGCGGTGTTTACAGTGCAGTAGGTGTGGGTGTGTCCCTGTATGTGTCTGTGTGAGCTGAGCTGCTATTGCCTAGCAACCACTGTCTAACTTCCATTACCGGCTCTTCCATTTCATAATTCAGAAGAGTGATTATACATTTTAAGTTATAACAGAATAACAAATACAAGATTTTTTTTCCTACAGTAAAATAAGGCTGTAAACACATTTTAAAAGCCACCATTTTCCCCTAGATTTGCTACAGTATTTACCAGACAAGCAAACTATATTGAATCTACTAACTGGGTAATGTTACTTTTCATGTTAAAGTATTCAGATACTTAATAATCATGGTGGTGGTGCAGTGGATAAGATACATCCCTTTGGTGTGGGAGACAAGGGTTCGATTCCCACTGACACATCCCTGAGCAAGACATTTAACCCCTAGTTGCTCCAGAGGCGTGCGACCTCTGACATATGTATCAAGCTAAACCGGACAACACACTGCAATGACCCGACAAAGCCTAAACAGAAACCCCAAGTATATATACACACATGGACTAACAAGCTGGGAGGAGACACACAGGTGACAGACATGAGACTGACGAGACGCAGGCAGGGAGAGAACAGGGGAGAACAGAGAGACAGCCAGGCAGAGGGATACTGGAGGGAACAGACATGACACAGGTTACTGAACACATTACAGATCAGATGAATAAAAATAAACTAATAAAGACACAAGCAGACAGATCACCAAGAACTACAACCAACAATGAAAACAGACTGAAGCTGGGATTAAAGAGAACACAGAGCAGACAAGGGCAAAATAACACAGAGGTACCCTGTCCAAAAGTAAACACTAAGACATGAACACCTGACTGGGAACTAAGACACGGAACCAAAACACAGACTAAATAACAGATACATAAGGCTCTACAAATAACAGGACTGAGAACGTCTCGGGTTACGTATGTAACCCTTGTTCCCTGAGAAGGGGAACAAGACACTGCGTCGGTGACGACACTACGGGAACGCTTCTGGGCGTGGCAGGGCTGAAATCATGAATGTAACTACTCCAATCCTATTGCTGTTGCTAGAACGGTAGCGTGTGACGGCGTAACTGGAGGCGTATATAAGCACACCGGCACCCCGGACACATTAGCTCTTTGCTATGAAGTAAGGCACTCCAGGCGGGGTGAGGTGTGGCGGCCCGACGCAGTGTCTCGTTCCCCTTCTCGGGGAACAAGGGTTACATACGTAGGGACCCGAGGGAACTCGAACTGCGTCGGTGACGACACTATGGGAACGAAAATACCCACTATTCCACGCCGAAGCCTCCGCCTGCCCCCCCCCAGCGTGCAGTAACCCGTAGGCACGACTAAGAGGAGAGCACACGGGTGCCGGGTGCAGAAGGAAGGTCCAGACTGTAAAACCGGATGAAAGTGTGAGGAGTGGCCCAGCCAGCTGGCTCACACAAATCCTGGAGCGAAGCCCCTGCAAAGAGGGCCCTAGAGGCCGCCATGCCCCGAGTAGAGTGCGCCCTTACGGCCATAGGTGAAGGTAACCCGCGCACCTGATAGGCCAGGGAAATAGTCTGAACGATCCAGTTGTTGATGGTGTGTTTAGAAGCGGGGAGCCCAGCCTTGGGGGACCCGAAACACACCAGCAACTGGTCTGCTTTCCTCCACCAGGAGGACCTCAGAGTGTAAATACTCAGCGCTCTGACCAGGCAGAGCAGATGAAGTCTCCCGTCCTCCACCGTCACATGAGGTGAGGGATGAAACGCCTGCAGCACCGTAGACCCTGCCAACCTGGATGGAACCTTAGGGACATAGCCCGGAGAGGGGTGCCGGATGGCTCTGACCCTCCAGGCTCCAGGCATTGAGGAGAAACCGAAAGTGCCTGGAGATCCCCCACCCTCCTCAGAGAGGTGATAGCGAGGAGAAAGGCCATCTTAAGGGTCAGGTGCTTGGCCTCAGCCGACTCCAGGGGTTCGAAGGGGGCCTCAGCCAGCGCTTCCAGAACCACTGCCAGGTCCCAAGTGGGAACCCTGGAACGAGTCATGGGTCTCATCCTCCGGGCTCCACGGGAAGCGCATGACCAGTGGAAGCCTCCCCAGAGGCCTCAAGGAACCGGGCCCCCTCAGACCCACAGTCTCCACAGGGCGGGGCAAGGGTGAAAGACCTGGCCCTCCTCAGAGGGAGGGACCATGGCGGGCCCTCGAGGAGCGATATTATGTCCGAGAACCACACTCGGGCCGGCCAAAACGGGGCTACTAGCAGTAGGCTGACACCGTCCTGACGGACCCGCTCCAGAACCCCCGGGAGCAGAGCGACTGGGGGAAAAGCATACAGACGCTGCCTCGGCCACGTCTGCACCATGGCATCCAGCCCTAGCGGGGCTGGGGGCGAGAGGGAGAACCACAGTGGACAGTGCGTAGTCTCTTGAGACGCAAACAGGTCCACATCTATAGGGCCGAACCTTTAGCACAATAACTCCACCACCTCGGGGTGGAGTCTCCATTCCCCGGGCCTCAGCCCCTGTCTCGACAGCAGGTCTGCTCCCTGATTCTGGGTCCCCGGGATATACGTCGCACTGAGAGACAGCAGTCTCTGCTGGGACCACAGGAGGATCTGATGTGCCAGCTTGAATAATGGGCGTGAGCGCAGACCCCCCTGGTGATTCAAATAGGCCACCACCGCCGCGTTGTCGGTCCTGACAAGGACGTGGTGACTGTGGAGAGCGGGCAGAAAACTCCTCAGAGCTCTGAAAACCAACATTTCCAGGCAATTTATGTGCCAAGAGAAATGATGCTCCTGCCAGGAGCCTCTCGCAAAGCAGCCGTGCATGACCGCGCCCCACCCTGCGAGTGAGTTGTCTGTCGAAATAATTGTCCAGCGACATGACGCTCCCAACACGGGACCCTGGGACAGGAACCAAGGCTTCCTCCATACTGACAGGGAACGAAGGCACCTGCTCGTAACCCCTTGGGTTTTAACCACCACTGCAGGGCTCTCATGTGCAGCCGGCCAGATGGGATTACGCTGGACGCTGCCGCCATGAGACCCAAAACCCTCTGAAAGTGTTTCACAGTGATGGTGCGGCCTAGCTTCACTCTGGTCACTGAGGACAAAATGGACCCGACGCGTGCGGGCGACCGGTGGGCCCGCGTTGTCGTTGAGTCCCACACCACCCCTAGGAACATAGTCCGTTGGGCGGGCGTCAGCATGCTCTTCTTTGCGTTGAGCTGCAGCCCCAAACGCTGAAGATAGGCAAGGACGACATCTCGATGCCGAACCGCTAACTCCCGAGACTGAGCCAAAATGAGCCAGTCGTCGATGTAGTTCAGTATGCGGATGCCTTGGAGCCTCATCGGGGCCAGAGCTACATCCATGGATTTGGTGAACGTGCAAGGAGAGAGTGCTAGGCCAAACGGAAGAACCCGATACTGGTACGCTGCGCCCCCGAAGGCGAACCTCAGGAACTTCCTGTGAGAGGGACGGATGGAGATGTGGAAATATGCCCCTCGGGGCTGGTGGCCGGTGTTATGCGTAGGTCGCCGGCGGCACCCTGAAGTGGAGGTCCGCCAGGGAAAACCCGCCGATAACCCGCGGTGTGTGAGCCAGAGCGCCTCCTGACTGCGGCCCCTCGGGGCAGGCAGAACGGCGCGTGCTTGCTGGAGGCTCGCGATCCCCAAGCGTTGACACGGTGGGATAGCAGCGCCTGCTGCCTGAGCTGCCACGAGGGAGGGGACCTTGGTCGCCTTCTCTCGGGCTCAGCTCAGGACCTCTTCCCCCGACCCCGGCGAGACTGAAGAACGATCCTCAGATCTGTTGTCTCGGGGGGCTGTGGGCAAGAGCGCTGTCTCGAGTCCAGGTGCACTGAGGGGGACCCCGAGAAATCCGGGAAAAAAGGCAGAGACCGGCGCGGAAGCTTGTGTGTCTGGCACAGCCTGCGGCCAATCTAGCTGGAGCTTGCCCACTGCCCGTGTCACCACCTCCAAGAGCTCGTCATAGCTGGGCGCTGACTGATGACGTTGCTCCGGCTCCCGGAAGTCTTCCTCCTCTATAATGCTGAGCACATCCAGCTCCTCAGAGCCGGACAACCGCAGCTTCTCCGAGCTCACACCTGGAGCGGGAGAAGCCGAAAAGCGGGCTCCCGAATGGGGAAGAGGGGAGTCGGAGCCAGCAGACGAGGAACGGGAAAAAGCCTCTGCTGATGTCGCGATGGGAGCCCCATGACCGAAGCCACCGCGTCGCCTCAGCGACCATTGGGCCCATGCCACGGGGAGAACGCATCCGGCCGTCTCCGGAAAAGAGAGCCGCACGGGACCTCAGCACCCTCAGGGGCAGGGCCTTGCAATGGCCGCAAGCAACCCCTCGAGAGCTGCCTGGGCATGCAGCATCCCCAGACAGGAAACACACAGGGCATGAGTGTCCCCAGCCGTGATGTAGCACGGGCATGGAAAAACACACTGCCTGAACTGCTCACCAGCCATCTCCTCTGCTTCTTCTTCCAGGTAACTAGTGGTTGCTTTTTTCTGAGTAGTCTCGAACATGCCAGAGTGCCTGCTGAATAGAAAAAAGCTAATTTGTCCGGTGTGCCGGCATGCTTATATACACCTCCAGTTACGCGTCACACACTACCGTTCTAGCAACGCCAATAGGATTGGAGTAGTTTCATTCATGATTTCAGCCCTGCCACGCCCAGAGATGTTCCCGTAGTGTCGTCACCGACGCAGTTCAATAATAATTTTACCTCTGATTTACCCTTTTGATACACAAAAGGTCATTGAAATGAAAAATAGTTGAGAAGTTTAGAGGGTAAATCTCTCTTTGGTAAAACATGACAAGGGGCCTCAAGAAGACATTTTTTTTGTAAGGAGTCACTGTAAGCACTGGTTTAATATTTAATAATACATTGTTTTTTAAATAAGATTATCTTTTTTTTAATGTAAATTCGTAATCTGAAAAATAACCAGTAACTACAGCTGTCACATTAATGTTGTGGAGTAAAAAGTACAATATTTCCCTCTTTAGTGAAGCAGAAGTACAACGTAGCACAAAATAGAAATACTCAAGTAAAGAACCTCAAAATCGCACTTAAGCACAGTGCTGGAGTAAATATATTTTCCACCACTTCTGATCAAATGATGTTAATCTGTTGCACTGAAGCTCATCTCTCGCAAATCCCAGCGCATAAGCTTTGGCTTAACCCATATGTTCCAGATCTATCTGTATGTATGTTTTCTTTTGGTGCAACAGATGAGCAGTGAGTATCTAAAATAAATTTGTTAGTTTATTGAACTGCCGCACCCTGAGACAATGATGGAGGGTATCTCAATAATGTCATCCTCTGCAATGACAAGATTAGTTGGGAGAAGCTGCTTTGATCCCCTTTGCAGAAACACTTAAGGATATTCACAGCAGCATCTGATAAGACCCTCAGTTCATGTTTTTTGTGTGACCTGGTGCAATTACTCTTTCTGAAAAGCTGGGAGGAACCATCTGAGGTTTTTCAGTGTGGTGAATGTACCCAAACAATTTTCATGCAACTAAACTCTCCTAAATTATAAGTTTCAATGATATCTTTACACTTTTCTTTAGCCATGCTAGCGGCAGGATGGCATTGTCGGCCTGTCAGCTGGTTCACTACTAAGATCCAGACTGAAATATCACAGCAACTATTGGATAAATTGCCTTTTCCTCTAGCTCCACCATGAGGTTGACATTTGTGGTTTTTAGGAAAATGCTTTAAACATTTAATAGATTGCCGTGATATTTTTTTTATTTTTTTTTAAAGGTTCTTTATTGATTTTCAAACATGACAGAGTACAGAGCAGTTCCAAAAATACACACCTAAATAGCCTACACATCACACACAATTAATAAGAATGATTAAAAAGGAACCTATACATTAATAAGGTGCTTACCCAACAGTAGAGAGTGCCAGGTGCTAAAGTGCTCAGTGTCGCTGCTCGGGGGGCTCTTTCCCTCATAAATCCAGTGAGCTCCAGGGTAGAGACTGCGTCTTGTCCAGAGTTCTCCTCCTGCGGAGTTCGGTCAGAATCTGCCTCACGACCATGTCGCTGTCTATGACAGTCTGGTGAATACTCATGGCGCATCTAGTTTTCCAAAGTTTTTGGCAAACGATGCTGATGACCAGTTGAAATAGTACTTTTTTCTTTGTGGGCATGATTTCTTCAAGAAGTCCGTATGTAACAGATCTATAATTACGTATGAAAGAGAGGCCAAGACCATCTAAAATGTTCCAGACCTCCTGAGACCTATAGCAGTCCATCAGGAGGTGCTGCTGTGTCTCATCCTCCTCACAATGTCTCATCGGACATTCTTTTGTTTTAACAAAGCAACACATGATATTTGGTAAGGACATTCATGTCCCCCTCAGGATAAATTAAAATAACTTTGGTGACCCCTTAACGTTTCATCTAGCACCACCATCTGGTCAAAATGTTACTTAGTCCAATACTTTGGTTTATGACCAAATGCCTGCAAAACATTCCCACCAGTGTCAGTTTTGCATTAAGCGTGCTGGCATTAGCATTTAGCTCAAAGTTGTGCGTAAGTATAGCCTCACGAAGCTGCTAGCATGGCTGCAGGCAGGCAGTTTGTCTTGTTTACAGTTTGAGTGGTGGCTGAGAGACAGAACGTAGGTGCACATTATTATAAATAGTCACAGGAATATGTGCACAATTATTCAATAAAGAGGCTGTGTGAACTCAAACGTGACAGATATAATAAAAGTATTACTGTTCACTGTCTGTTGTGATATTTGCTTGTGCTGAGTAATGCTGTTAGATAAGCAGAAAATCGCATCAGCTACAATCTAAATCTTGTTGCATATGTATGGGAAGAACATGTTTAACTGTGCAAATGCAATCCCCGAGGACATTCTTTGGTTTGTAAATGCAGTTTTATCCCACAGTTAAGTCCACAGTTATTTTTTCCTTCCTAGTTTTTTGGCCTCAGGAGCAGGGTGATGAATTGTGATGCTTTTCTATCTCTTCTTTAGCTTAGAGTTCAGATCTGTTTCTGCAGACGCAGGCTTCTTTTCCCATGCAGACACCGAGGTACAACGATGGAATCTCCTGTTAAAGGACCATGCGTAATGCCATAGGTCGCAGGTCACAGTAGCTGTAACTATTTCTACAAACACAGTATAGTGAAGATGACAGCCGGGCCTGAACCTCAGGCTGCTGGAGATACTCTTAGAGAACACAAAACCAGTATTATGTTTTGAAATTATCATCGAAAGGGGAGCAAACTAGCCTATTTAAAGAATTTCCTGTGGGAAAAATGACAGAATTGCATGCATTCCTGCTACCGCTTATTTTTCTGAACAGGTTTCGTTCCCGTTTTGTTGGGTCCTTAATTTTATTATTTGTTAAATAGTCTCTGATACCCTGTATTCCTATGGGCACTATGTGTTTAAAACGGATATGGTTTAAAATATTTAGCCCAGATGGGATTAACTCACATTTTTGTGCTCCTTGGGGAGTTATTAAAGTGTGTATCTCCATTTTATGTGGCTAGGTTTATTTATTGCCATTCATTTGGCAGGAGACGCAAACACACTCATTCCTGCCTGTGCCCACCATCTGTTTCAGCCTCAGCTCAGCCAGCCCTGCTCACTCCCCCAAAGAGGAGTATGTTATCACCCAGTCCACTGACACCCCTAAAGAAGAAACAAGCCATGATCAGTTGGAGAACCAGGGGGAAACTCGGGATGACAAATCTGAGCTGACAGAGAAGAAATCTGTCACAGGTTGGTTGGCTGCACATCAACTCTTGTAGAGGAAGCTACAAGAGAAAAAAAAACTCCCTCCCTTCCCATCTCCCCTGTCCCCCCTTTCCTTTCAGAAGAGGTGTCTCTGTGTGGATTGTGTCCCTCCCTCGGGCACAATGGGCAGGAGGAGGAGAAGTCCTGGGAGGAGCAGCTGGACGCCCACCAGGAGCAGCTGGAGAAGGAGATGCAGGAGGCCAGGAGGATGGTGTTCCGCCTACAGGTAAGCCCTGGTGATGATACAACTAAAAAAAACACCTCTACGACAAACACATTGAAAGAGGGCTCACAGACCACAGATGCACCGGAGGAAGGTCACAGCTCACATGTAACATATAGTGAGATTTTAGCCTGGTTCCACATCTTCAAACAGATTCAGATTTAATAAAAGAAGAAAAATAATAAAATATGACTACAACAATAAAGATTAATACATTAAAATAATGAATTTAAAGAAAAAAGGCAATTAAGGCCCATGATCAGGCTAGTAAGATTTATCGTTTAACACCTGACTCACTTTAGACATTTGGCACAGAAAGGACATGATACATCCCTGTTAAAGTTGCAGTTCAGCTGAAGACACTTGATGATCACCAGATTTTATATAAGTATTGCTTTTATATTACTGTATATTATGTGCTACGTATCAGAAGGGAGTAACAAACTAAACTTTACAACCTCTTGTAATGTGACAAATAATCCTATTATATTATAAAAATATTAGCACCCATTTCACATGTACACAGTGGTTATGCTACTCATGGGTTAAATGTATTTAAATATATGTAAGTATTATATGAAAGTATATGGTGCATTTATTATATGTATATTTTCCATATTTTGTAATATACTAGTACATCTAAATATAAAATCATAGGTGATGTACAGTCATTATATTTTACAATAATGACAATATGTTTTGTCATGTTAGTGGTGCAGCTACAACATGTCAACACACTGTACAGTACAGAAAAAGTGACAAGTGAGGTGACTTTCCTGACCACTACATACCCCATACTGTCTTAGGCATTACATGTCAAAAACGAATGCAGTGTCTTTCTATTTTTTTTCCGGGTTCCCAACAAGTTGGTTGGATCACCACCTACATCTCAGATTTGTCCAGTAATTCAAATTAATTCACACTTGTCAATTCCACATTGACGTTAAAGGATTTATATGAACATACATGTACAGCAACACTTTTTACCCAGTAATTGAAATCAAACTTCAGAGCAAACAAGAGGATAATTATATAACTTAGTTTTATTCGGTAAACCTTCAGTAATTTTGATTATTCAGTCAAGGTACAATTCTATACTTACTGAATATCTTTGTGTATGTAAATGTGCACTGTATGTGTGGGTTAGGGCAGGTGAGAGGCTGAAGTCTGTGCATACTTGCAAATACAAATAGAAATGCTTACAGGCCTTCACTCTGTGTATCTATATATGTGTGTGTTTTTGCCCTCAGGCTTTGTTGCTCCATGGCTCCCTCCCTGAGGAGGACCAGGATGGATCTGTAAACTTCGGAGATAACCGGGCTAACACTGAACAGCAGCTGGTACAGTGCCCTCTCTCTGCATACTTGAGAAAACAACACTTGCTCACCACTCTGTGTGAAGTGTCAGTGTCAGCCCTTCTGTTGTGATAATGTTTGCAGCCATCACTCCTCTCGAGAGTGGCTACTGTAGAGCACAATTGAATCTCTCTGATCTGCTAGCCCACTGTCACGCAGGCCCACTGCCTCCTCATACGTTCTGACATTTTTCCATTCTCTAATTACTCTGCTCATACCCTCTCCCTTTGAAGGTCCTAATCCGCAGTCGTCTGGACCAAAGCGTGGAGGAAGCCCTTGATCTCAAGGTACAGTAAGTAAATGTAATTAGGTTTAATATAGACGAGCTGCCTTGTGAGCATATAGTCCCATTCTCTAATGCCTCTGTTCATTTGCGTGGCTCTTAGAGGGAACTCCTGAGACACAAACAGGAGGCACGCCACCTTCAGGCCATCAAGGTAAACCTCTTACTCAAATTTTGTCCTGTGTACGTGAGTAAAAGGATTAAAGGATATAATTCAATCTGTTTCACTGCTGTGTTTTCCTATAGGTTTATGTCTGTTGTTATGCACCTAGTAAATTCCATGTGTAAAAACTAGTTGGCGATATAGCTGTTTCTGATTTCTGTTTCTGACACAATATGTGTTTTTTAAATTTCTTTTAGAGTTGGGTGTATGCTGTCAGTAAGGCAGGTGGATGCAGCATATCTGCATTCAGGTCTTGTGCGGACATGTCTTTGATCTCCCCCTCGTTCTCATTAGGATGCTCTGCAGCAGCGCCTGGCAGTGCAGGAGGATGCTGTTCTGCAGCTAAAGCAGGAACTACTGAGGTGCAGCATGGCCAAGGATCAGCTGGAAGGGGAAAATGTGAGACAAGTGATGATTTCCGTTTGACACGATAAAATATTTGACCTGCTTGACCCGAGGATGCAGGTTTATGTGAGAGCAATGTAGCATGCATACCATGCTGATGTATATGTTTGCAGGTGGAGCTCAAACACAAGTTGAGTGAACGGAACAAATTACTCAGTGAATATGAGGTATTGTCTTTAATATTTACACTTCAGTGCATTCTTTGGATACATACATGCATATACAGACTTGTGTTATCCATCTTTATTGTCGCAATAGCAGCAACTCGGGAGGAAGGACAGAATACTGCAGCAACAGCAACAAAAGCTCGATGAAGCACAGCATAAAGCACATGAAGCCAACCTTGGACGGGTAGGGATCATGATATGTTTTTCAGCTATATATGTTTACATGCAAATGACATATAATAATAATAATGTATATAGTATTTATATTTATAGTATGTTGTATAGTATTTTTTAACACCAAGGTTACAAGGTACTTCACAAAAAGCGGTAAAATTAAAACACTTTAAAATCAAATAGAAAATCGAATGAGGTAAGAAAATACATTGACAGGATTATAATAAAACAGGTAAAAGCAATTCCAATTGAAGTCATAAAATCAAGTCAAAACACACCTCAGTAAAGGGACATTTAATGGATGTTTTCTGTATTGTTATTGTCGACAAACTCCAAGAAGAATCATAACCAACGTCTTGCTCAATTTTTTCAGTTCTTCTTCCTTTCTAAATGTTTAAATAAATCTCAGTAATTTGCTAAAACAGCTAGGTGCTGTAGTTTTTAGAAAACATACAACATTTGGTGAGTATTAACAGCAGCAGGACGGTGGGTCATTGATGTGTTTTAAATTGTTCAACTGCAGACTTGCAGTTGTTGCAGTAGCACAGATGAATATGCTTTGGCTACACGTCTGATTTTATTGTTTTCATGGCATTTGTTGCTAACAACATAATTATAGAATATCATCAGCATCATCCTTAAAAAGATGAAAGTCAGCCAGCCTTGTTGTTGTACGTATTGACATATACTGTTTTACAGTCATTCAGGAGTGAAAGTGGTGGTTACAGTAACTCATTGGCTTCGACATCTCCTGCAGTATTCCAACACAGTGCACCGGTACGTACCCTTTTTGTGAATTAATACTAATAATTGCTTTTCATTGTGTTGATTTGGTTGGCTCATTGTATGGATGTTCATTTTTGGTGGGAAAAGAAAAAAAAATCTTGCATGACAAAACATGCAAACAAAAAAATGCAAACAAAAAAATAGTCACACTAAGTCAGAATTTTGAGAAAGTAAGGCTAGATGTTGACTTACTAAGTAAAAATTATTAGACACAAAGTCAAAGTTATGAGGTACTACGTTAAAATGATGAGATGCAATATAAAAAGTATGAGATACTAGGTCTGAATTATTAAGTCGAAACTTACTAACTAAAAATTGTGAGATATTAAGATGAAATAAGTCATAAATTGAACTTAAAATCTCATAATTTTGAGTATTTTTATTTTATCATGCATAACCTTTTATTAAAAGAAATTATTTTCTCTGTGGAAATGGCCTACATTTTAAGAAAGTGTATGACTATAAAGAAGCTGTTTGTCACAGGGGGAAGAGCTTCAGCTGGTCAGGGAGGCACTGCGTAGTTTGAGGGACAGCTTTTCTGGTCATGACCCCCAACATCATACCCTGGACACCCTGGAGCAGGGTGTGTCCAGCCTCATGGACCGATTACACTCTTTGGACACCCAGCGCCGACAGGACAGAGGGGTACACAGTCTTTTTCAGAGTAAATCTAAAAAATAGCAACATATCTCCCATCAAGTAAATAAGGAGTCAACAACAAGTGGCATTACCATGTGTAATTGGTTCTTCTTCTAGGAGGAATTTAAATCACCAGGACGTAGAGCCAACTCAACAGACCGTGACTCCTGGCCACCGAGTTCAAGTGAGACAAACAAAATCTTTGTTTTGTTTAGTATTTCTCATCCTCTGCAACATCTCAACTATGGCTGTTAAATCAAATTGTTCAGTTACAATGCTCTGCATGGAGAGGGCATTATGAGCTGTGAGGCTAGTGCCATTTTAGACTCTGAATGTGAAAAACAGTTTTACAGTGTTTTTGTAATTATTTCCAGAAATGGCGCACTCACACAGCAGCCCGGGATTGGACACCGCCGTCTCCACTAAAGTGCTCTACTTCACTGATCGCTCGCTGACTCCGTTTCTGATTAATATCCCAAAAAGGTGAAAATAAAAACACTTTATGGTAGCTTTATATAACAGTGTTATTGTTTGTTCCCTCACTGTTGCCTGCATGAATTTTAAGCAAATTGCTGTTTGGGTTAGAGCTGCATGCTGAGGACACATGGCTACATTCAGGCATAGCTAGAGCTGCATATAGATGCTTCAGTATCTGTGCTGTGCTAAGTGTTTATTCTAGAAAAGCTTAATGTCTGTGTGGGTGTATGGTGTGCATAGATCATGACTGACACTGCGCTCCTAACAGGCTGGGTGAGGTGACACTGCGAGACTTCAAGGCCGCTGTGGACAGACAAGGCAGTTTCAGATACCACTTCAAGGCCCTCGACCCAGAGTTTGGCACAGTGAAAGAGGAGGTAGGAGTAAAATTATGGCCCTTCTTCTTTTCACATCAGCTTCAGCAGGCAAATATAAAATAGCAGTTATAGAGTAAGATACGCTAAAAATAGCCGTGGCTGTGGTATACTTCAGAACACTACAGGACTTATTTCCACATAACACTGCGTAGTCGTTTTCCCTTTCTATCCAGACCTTTGTACATTATAGATAGTGAGTGATTCTTGAATATGTAAATGCTGGATGTTTGCTGTTCAGGTATTTCAGGACGGAGCAGTCGTGCCTGGCTGGGAAGGGAAGATTGTAGCGTGGGTGGAGGAGGACCACGGAGACAGGAGGTAGAGCCCAAAAACCAGAGATCACCACTACAAACCTCAGTTGTTCCCACTGGACCAGGATTCCACTGAAACTACTTGTGTTGCCATATTAGGAAAAAAGGTTGTAATACAGTTCACTGGGACCAATGGATCTAACACAATTTTGATACAAAAAGTGTTGAATGTTTTAAAAGTGAATGTTTCATATGAAGAATTTGACTTGACATTTAGGTACCACTTGAATGGATATTGTTTGCAGCTCATAAATTAACATGTGGGACTACAAACTAATGGTCAGTAATGTGAAACTTGAAACTGAATTATAAAAGAAAGTTAATGCTATTTACAATAAATAAAATGTTATATAAGCTGTGCTCTTAAAAGCTGTAACCAGTGCATAGTATGCAAACCTTAAAATAAAAGTGTTGACTGACATTTTTCACACGTTCCAGATTGCCAAACACTGATGATGTTCTGCATCAATTTTGATGTTTTAATAAACATGAATTATTGCATGGATCATTTTGTTGTCAATTATTCCCTGAGAGTACAGTAATGACACTGTACACCAGTTTCTAGCCATTATACACCTCCACTCATACACCCACACATTAATAAACAAACCCCACAGATTGTCATTAATTTTTTTGGGGGGGGGGGGTTGCTGCTGCACATCAACCCACACAGCACAAAGGGACACACTGACACATTTGTTTCTGTAAAAACATTTTGGTTTTGGGAAAAGATCAGTTTACAGGACAACTGTTTGTTGGACAGCTGAATGTCTGAGACATACAATAATGTGTTCACAAGGCTTTTCAGATTGTACAGCAGGGATTTAGTTTGTTTTGGTTATTTATTTTGAGGTATTTTCAGTCACCAGAATTTTCATCCAAGCCTCACAGTTTCTTAAGCCTATTCCCAGCAGTACTGATCACCTCTATGTGCATTTGTTTCTCCATTAAGGCAAATGGTCAGAAAACATCCACTCTCAAAGTAAGCCTTCGTTTCTTCTTGTTAAAGATGGCTGACGCAGTGTCTTCATTTACAGTTTTTGGGAATTCCAAAAGCAGGTAGTAGACATCCTCCACTTCCAGTAAGACGTCATCCTGCAGAGAAAAATACATTCATCCCTCTGTAAGACTCACAAACGAGACATAGAAACAGGCCAATTATGTATTTTTTTATGACATCTACAACTGCGCACTGACTCACATTGGGTTCTAGAGTGGTTCATTATAACTGTTCAAGGGAGTGTGTAAGCTCTAACCTTGGAGATTCTCAGCTGGCACTCTGACATGGAGCAAACCCTTGGCAGCTCCACTGTCAACTCCACGCTGCGAGGATCTCCTGCTGTATCAGTCTTCATCTCAAGTTGGTACTCTGGCTTCTGAGGCTGCACAAATGTGGTGGAGATGACCTGGATCAACTCCTTTTTGTGCTCCGCAGGTCTACAGATAATTTGGTCGACTGTGTCCTTGTCTTGTTTCTCTGAGTATAGTGAGGAGATCTGCTGCAGAAGGGCAACTGGGGTCTGACTGGCTGTAAAAAGGAACACTATGGATTATTAGAAACTAGTAGAAGGTGAACGATGATGCACCTGCAGCAGAAAAAGGAAAATAGCTCGAAAATACAGGGCTTGTAGCAGTTTATCAGGGTACAAGACTTATTGCTCTACCTGTGTCTGGTTGTTTGGAGGTGTTAGGCCACTGCCAAAACCCAAGCCTGTGGTGCAAGTCATCGGAGTTACTTTTGGGCTACAGCTGACAATAGTGTACTCCTGAGATAACCTCATCCCATACTGCTGCTGGGCAAAGCTCAGGACCAGCATATAGATTTCTGTTTTGTCTTTTTCACTTTCCTGTAGCACTGCAGGGTTTAAGGCCACATCCAACACAGTGTACCCACCTGCGAAGGAAAAACACCAATTTATTAGTTGTCTTGTTTACATCATGTAACACAAAGGCCAGTTATGTCGCTTTTGATGCAACACAGCTTTGTCTTGACCGTGACCTCCATTTGTGTCTGTTTCCAGGTTTCCTGCAAACACGGGTATAGGCCTGCTGGGATCCTGAGGTGCAGGTACACGTTTCCAGCTGCATATGTTGATGTACAGTGACCCTTTCTTGGGCTCCTGTTAAGGACACAGATGTACTGTCTGTCAAAAAACCTTCAAAACACACCCTGTCGCTAACCTATAAAACAGGCACAGGTGTGGCAGCTTAACTATGTGTAGTAAAAGGCAGATGTTTTGCATGAAGGGGTAGACAGTAGAGTGGAAACTATTCAAGTTAAGTGATTACTCGATCAACAGAAAGGAACTGGCGACAATGGCGATAATCCATAATTTGAGTAAATGTTAAGGAAAAATGTAGTTTCAGCTGCTCACTAGGAAATATATCTGTTTTTCTGAGTTTTCAATGACAGGGAATGGAATAATTTTGAGTACACAAGACATTTGAAGATGGGCTTTGGGAGCTCAAGATAGGCCCTTTTCACTATTTGCAGGCTTTTTATAGAATAATCCAGAAAATAATCTGTAGATAAATGAGTAAGTAAAAGGTTGATAGCTCTCAAATTGGACACCTTCACTAATAAAAAAGTGTAGATTAGTAATATCATTAATGATGGCTTCATTTCATGTTTGTGCCAATGCCAGGGGCCCAGACACCTGTATTGAGGTTATGCTGCATTCGCGTGATCCTGGGATGGTCCCATTTCCCGAGTTGTGAAGTCGTTATTCCGACTTCGATGTGTTCATGTGCTTTAAGTCGGGATGTGGAAACAACATGGACGGCACTACAAAGATGTGTTGGTTTGTGATTGTCATCCAAGTATGCTGAAACAGTCTGAAGCTTTCTATTACATAATGACTTTTGTTCCAGAGCTGTTACCGTACAAGTAGGCTACCTTACCATTACCTGAAACAACTAAAATATTGCTTATGCTGCAAATATGGCTAATAAATAACTTTCCTAATTAATCTAGGTTACTCTATATGAACAGCAAACTAACAGTTCTAACCTAAAACCATAATACCATATTGCAATTGACACATTATCAAATATTGTATAGGCCTATGTGATTTCGCCATTTTCCCATTAATAAATTGTTTCTAACTATTAACCATGTTGGCCGCCATGTTTGTCCGTGTATGGTATTAGGTTATTTGTTAGTTTGCTGTCTATGTACAGTGACTTATATTAATGAGGAATGTTATTTATTAGCAGCATTTGCAATAAAGTCAATATGTTAGTGATTTCAATAATGTAAGTTACTGGTGCAGTAACAACTCTGGGACAAAAAATAACTTTATAGGCTAACAGAAAGCTTCAAACTGTTTCAGCATAACTTTAGTTGGATGACAATGATAATGCTAATTCAGCACATCTTTACAGTAGCATCCAAGTTATTTCCACATTCTTACTTAAAGCACATGAACACACCGAAGTCGTAGGAAGAAGGACTTCCCACCTCGGGAAATGGGACCATCCAAAGAGCACATGAATGCATTAACGTTACTCACCTAAACCTAAATGGAATGCAGCCATCATTATGAGACACACCTGTGCTTTCACTGCTTTGACGTAAAATGTTTGTCGTGAGAAGTCGTTTATGCAGGCTTGATAGCTAAAATAAAGTTAACTTGTTACCATTTATTAAGCCGCTGCCACCTACTGACATAACTTACCACTATTTCAGTGCACAAACAAGAGTGGACTTCAGGCGGTGCGCTGAACTCAGCTCCTTCCTTCATCTGTTTCTCAATGAACTTGCGGTAGGCGTCAGGGTCATTTTGAGAAAGATCATCCAGCATGGACCAAAAGTGGTTGACCTGCTGTAAAACATTCCCTGCACTGCCAGTGGAGGACATCTTAAGGTGACTGTCTTAGCAAGCAAAGACTAGCGCTCACTAGCCACTATCGTTAACTTTAGCTGTAAAAAAAGAAAACCAGAAGCCCTCAAGTTTGTGAGTTGAAGTTAGATAAACAGCTTATGTACACTGTTACAAATGAGTGTTGCTATTGAAGGAGGGTCTAAAAAATAGAGCAATATCGCGCAAACTAGTTCATTTCCATCAAATGAAAGAAACAACTAACGCTAGCTTAGCTAATGTTGTCAGTTGCTATGGAACCCAGATGAGAGGAAACGTTCCACAAATGCCACCTGGCGGCGGAGTGCAGAGCTGCAGCTCAATAATCACACAGGACACCGTTTTATAAGAGGAATAATTTATGTTCAGTACATGGAAAATATAACGTAAAAATGCATTTTGATGTCTGTTTTAATGTGTACATTATATAACGGACATTTAAAGGACATATATTAACTATAATTTTCAAACTTCTCAAACAGAGGACTAAAATCAGTAGCGTCCTCTGCTTGCTGTGCCCCATTCGCACTCATCAGGAGTTCTGCAAAGAAAAGGTCATTATTAGCAGTAAAAAATAGATTTATATTCCATTGTGCAGTTTCCAATTCCTTCCTGTTGCTGATAATATAAGAATTAACAATAATTGCTGTTTGTTAAATTAATTACGGCTCCCTGATACTTCTGAAATATTGTCATCTTTTACTAAGTAAAAGTAGCAATGTGAAAGTAGGCTACTCCACTGTAAATAAAAATGCATTCAAAAAGTCCAGAAGCAGGCCAGAAACATTATCAGCTAGATGTATCAGAAAATTACTCATAAGGCTGAAAAAAAACAACTTATGTGTGTCTTAATGTTGGATTATCCTAATTATCAATGCGATAATGAACAGCCAACATCCAGCAATCAATCGATTCATCATTTTAATAATTTTTCAAGCAAAAAATGCCAAACATTTGCTGGTTCCAGTTTCTCAAATTAAAGGATTTGCTGCTTCTCTTTGTCTTATATGATAGAAAACTGAACATCTTTGGGTTTTGGATTGTTGGTTGGTCAAAACAAGCATTTTGAAGATGTCACCTTGGGTTTTGGGAAATTGTGAGGGGCTTTTTTCACATATTGTGACATTTTCTAGACTAAACAATCGATTAATGGCATAAATAATTGGCAAATTGTTAGATAATGAAAATAATAATTAGTTGCAGCTTTAGTCTAAATCACAATGCATCACATTTTATAAGCTAATCATATGTTTTCTATCTAAAATCATGATCTACAAAGTGTAAATGTATTTTTCTCTGAAATGTTGTGTAGAATGGAATTGGAAGTATAAGTACCTTACCTCTGTACTGTACAAACACTTGGTTACTTTCTACCACAGAATTTCTAAAATGTCTGTTTACCTCCATCATGTCATAGATCCAGCCCAAGAATTCAGCCACTTTGGTATAAACTCCAGGATGGTTGGGCTCAGCACAGCCTGTCCCCCAGCTGACGACCCCTACCAGCCTCCACACATTTTCATCCTGGCAAACCAGAGGACCGCCACTGTCCCCCTGGAGAGGTAGACACAAACAGTGTCCAATGCAGACTCACCCAGCCTTTATTATGCCAGTGTTTCACTGTAAACAAATCACAGAGGAGAGGATGAATCTTTAAAACGCCTCTGCAAAGTACTCTTCAAAACATACATCTGACCTGACATGCATCCACTTTTCCCTCTGTGTATCCGGCACAAAGCATCCGTGGCGTGATCTCTCCGTTGTACATGCAGGAGCTGTTACACTTCTTTGTGCTTATTATGGGAACTGGCGCCTCTTTCAGGGTGTCAGGTGATTGAACTGAGGGAGAAGACACACATTAAAAGCTGCTCTTTAACACACCTGGCACAATCTGTCATCATGTGTGAATTAGACTTGCAGCAGATGTAAATGTGTTTTACAGCAATGCAGTAGCATCTTACCACCCTCAGGCTGTGTGTATCCCCATCCGGAGATCCAGCACTGTGTACCTCCTGGAAGATCATAGTCGTACTGAGGCAAGCAGACAGGCCTAATTGTATCTAGTTAAAGGGGGGGAAAAAAGAAAATTAGCCTCTTTAGATTATATTAATTCTGACAGGTTGGAACATTGTAATTTGGATTTAATTATGATTTTTCATTCAAATAATTTTATAGTTCTAAAGGCTTTTCTTCCACTCTGTTTGAGAGACATTCTTACATAAGTTTACCTACCACTCTAAATATGGTTGGGTCCCCAAGTCATTGTTGATTAGGTCCCTTAAGGCCCCCTTCACTCGAGCATGTATTTTACTTATTGTTACTTCACTTGGTTGTTTGAGCTTTACTGTGCACAATGATGTATGCTGTTTGACACTAGAGGGCTGCATGCATTCATCTGCTGAAGAGGTAAAAAAGTTTTTATGCGCTCACCTTAAATCTCAGTTTCAAACCTTTACCAATAAGCATGATTTTATTAAATGGGATGTGAAAACTTGAAACCTCTAGTGAACATAAACTGAGAATCAGCTTTTCAGTGAAGTAGATGACTTCCGTCCAGTATTTAAACTTTTGAAATGAAAAATATTTGCATATTAAAATTTAAAAATTAAAAATTAAATTGGATTTTTCAATGAAGGAGAAGCAGTAGATGTAATCTAAGTATGTTTGGGGTTTTTTTGTTTGTTTTTTTACATTTGGCTTTTTTTATGGAAAATGTATTACTCAGAGTAATTTTATGTAAAACATGTCTGGAGGGGATTGTTAAACTTTATTGAGGTTACATGCCTAGAATTGGTTCTATAAAATGTTGTGGGTGCAAAGATTGATTTTAAAGTGTATATCATTGTTCATTGTGGGTACAGAAGTTAAACCCTACACCTGGCAATAAGCGCTTATTCTTTATAAGAGGAGTATAACACTTTTGTGGTGGGCTGATTAAGCCTTGTTTTCTGAAATGTGTCAGCATAAAAAAATAAAACTGAGGCCATAGTATTACATATTTTAGTGTTTTTGAAGTGCTGCTATCTCACAAGGAGGCTCCCAGACTGACCCGAGAAATTCAGCGGTGTCCGCAGTTTCATCAGGGCAATATCACTGTCATGGCTCCTGTGGTTGTAGTTCTTGTTGTAGATGATCTTCTCCACAGCGTGTCCTGTGTGCTGAGCCATTTTAGCCGAGCTGCGGGTGACAATACCGGCATAGACCACCCAGCTGGACACCTGAGGTAGCCTGTAGCTGACATTTTAGGAAAGAAAAGAGGAGGCAGGTACTGATAAGAGAGTTGTTTGTCATGCTGTATGTGGTGCAGCTGTTAATGACTTATAATTCTCCTTCGTGGAGTCTGTAACCGTCGACCTTTAGCGCTGGTAAGGTCAGCAGTCTTACTTGTGCACACAATGGGCAGCTGTGACTACCCATTCACTGGTGATGATGGAGCCTCCGCAGGTGTGACGGTTGCTATAGTAGAGGCTGACCTGCCAGGGCCACCTGCCCAGCGTGGCCTCCACTCCCCCGATTATCCTGGGCAGTTTCGCTCGTGTTCCACACTCTGCACAGAGATCCAGTCATCAAAAAGGCGTTGCATTGGTCGGAAAGCACTGCAACAAGTGGCATCATTCACTCTGTGTGCCACTGAGATGAAGCTTTTTCTAAAGTATTATTAAGGAACTACAGGTCTCGGTCTTGGGTTCAAAGTCAAACAAAAAGTGAAGTTTAATTTGCTCACCAAAACATTGTAAAGCGATAACCTTCCCTGTGATACAGCTCCCCCTAAATGAAAATAAATTGAGTAACTAATGATGCATAATTAATGTGTTGGTAGCCACACATTTCTCTGCATCATTATGAGTATGATGTCCTCAGACAAATTGCCTTACCTGAATTGCCACATATTTTCCAGATTGCTCTTGTGTTCTGAGGTAATTTGTATAAACCCATCAGTATAGTTTGGCCCAATATCAGTTAGATTCACTCCTTTATGCTTGGTCAGTCTGGTAGGGGAACATATGCAAAATGGATGGGAGTGAGTATTATGATAATTCAGACTCATAAGGTGTGAAGCAAGATTGTAAATGAGGTATTAGAAGATCATAAATAAGCTGAGCCTTCAACCTCGGCAAAGCAGGCTAAGATTAAACTATAAGTTAGAGAGTGGGTGCTCCAGTCTCAGTCAGTGTAAAGCTGAGGTGTGTGATCCTGGCAGCAGTGCAAACCTCATATAACCCAGCTGTCTGCAGACCAGCGTTCCCAATGACGAGTTCCACCTCTCGTAGCACACTGGCAGCCAGGTAGGCAGCTTCCCCAGCTGGATCTCCAGGAGGGAGCTCTCCGGGCTGATTCTGTAAAACACTGAACCTGATTGATTGAAAATCCCTCCAGAGACAAGCTCTCAGTCAACAGTAATGAACAAGCCTCTTCTATGAGTGGGGAATGATTAAGAAAAAACACAAGTATCTATGCTAATGTAGTCAATACAAACAGATCATTATGTATGATATTTTTATGTCAGTCAATGGGCATCTCTCAAGAGTGCACAAAAGGCAACAAGGAGCAGCTGTTGAATGATGATTTTCCTACTGTTCAACTAAAAATCACTTCAGAGATGAACCATGACCCAGTATAATCACTCGCATAACAATTTGCAACCTGCACTTAATTCATAAAACAGTGAAACAAACAGTAATAAGAGGAACAGACACAGACCTTTCCTGGGGTCAGATATAGAAATATCCTCTGTCACATTGCAGAAAGGCGTCTCTTTTGTGTCCCCAAGTCCCACTGGACTTTGCGAGTAGGAAGGCCTCAGCAGAAGTTTGACTATATGTAGTTAAAGATACAGCAAAAACATGTTCCTTTTAACTAAATGTTACCAGATAATCAACATTAGTACCCAGAACAGACACAGCCTGTCTGGTAGAGCAATACAGTTTTACTCTGCAGAAGAGATATATGTATATATTATGAAATATAGTATTTATATCAAGTCAAAAAAAAAAACTCACTAAAACAATACACAATACTACTGTTTTTTAAAATTTTCAAAAGCTGATATTGTATCAGCTTCAAAACTCCTGTATCTTCCAGGTTCTGTAGAGCAGCAGTGATCTGATAATACAGACTACAGAAGCCTGAGCAGCTGTAACTAGACATTTTGCACATTCGTTTCCATTTCCTAGTTACCATTAAGCCAATTTAGCGACTCTTTCTCAACACAATGACTCACCTAGAAACCAGACACCTACAGCTAAGCCTCCCAGGAGTCCAACTGCACACACCGCTGCCAGCAGCCTCACCAGTCTGTGAGCTAAAGCAACAGTTAAGACTCAAGTTAATGCCTTATGATCCCAGATATGAGCTGAGAAGATTTATTAAATGTCATCTGTTACAGATATTGTACATTGACACAGAGGCAGAAATTAATAAGATATATTTTAGACATGCACAACACCAGAGAGCTGAAAAGCAAATCTGCACGCTTACATTTTTATAAGAAAGCACTGCTTTACTACTTATCACTACACTGCAGATGACTTGATTCAGTGCAAAGTGAATAGAAAATAGTGTTTTTTTTTTGCACTTATGAACCAAGACTGCTGTTTTAGTTTATGTTTGATGCCCATCAGGTGGTGCACCACTGGCACCTACCTTGAGTCATAGATTGAATCCCCTTTAACCATCCCTGCACTCCCTTGCTCGCTGCAACTCCTGCTGTTTTGTCTGACTGAAAATGATGGCTGACCGCCGCCGGGTTCTCAATCACTGATAATGTGTCTCCATCAAGACTCTATAAGAAATAAAGTTGGCACAACAGACCTCATTTACAGCTCGTTCCTATTTGATAAAATGTTGGCAAGTTTGCGTTTGCAACAAAAACTACCTGCTAACCATCTGTTCCTCAACAACAGTGCACCTGTCAGGCTCTGTCAGATTTAATTAGGAGCGCTGTAATCCGATTATTAACGACCACTGACCAATCCACATGTATGGTGTCAGAGCTCTAGATGCATACAGGTGTGTCTTTAAATAGTACTGTGCAAAAGTTTTATGACGCAGGTGTGGAAAAAATGCTGTAAAGTAAGAATGCTTTCAAAAATAGACATGTGAATAGATTATATTTATTAATGAACAAATCAATTCCAAAACTTTTGCACAGTCCTGTGTCTCCTCATTGAGGTAGTCATAATGGGCAGGTTGAAGCCTTGTTTAGCCTCTGTTTTGTTAAAACACATATACTCTTCCTGTTTTTCATAAATGTTTATGACTCTGGTGTGTGTGTGTGTGTGTGTGTGTGTGATTTTGTTGGGCTCACTCTCCAATGAGCAGCTGTTTCCATAAGCAACATATTGAGAGTATTACAGTAATTATAATAAAGCTCTCTATAGATGTGAGATGCAGTTTTAGTATTATAAAATTGCAGTAGAAAATCCATCTAAATAAATAGCCATACCATCTGCTCTCTTGTATTACTCTAGCACTTGAGTGCAGCTAAACATGTAATTTTAGATTTAGAATTGACATGAGTTGCATATAGCTCAACAGCACTTTAGAAAGTATGTACAGCTGT